GGCTGAAAGCAGGTTTCTGGGGTTTTGTTTAGCTTCTATATGTTACAATGTTTCTTAAACTGCAAGTTCAGAGGCCGGCAAGGCAGGCGGGGAACGTTGCAGTCCTCTGTCACTGAAGCAAGCAAGCCTCATGTTCAGTTTAAGCTTCCTGGCTGCCAGCCGCCATCTTGGCTGACAGTTAATTTGCATATCGCCCCTGATTAGCCAATGGGAAGGGTAGCGGTCGTACGCCAATTACCATGTTTCTCTTTTATTAGGTAAGGATTGAATAGCCAAGCCTCGTAGCAGGTCTAACTGCTAGTGTAATTTGGAATTAATTATGAATATAAATTACACCTCAAGCTGTCTGCAGCACTGTAATGTGGTGTGAAAACACTGCGATGTCTGTTGGCAACGAAGACATCGGGGCTATTGCTAGACTGCAGTTTGCCTAAATTCAATGTTAAAAGGAGTGCTGAACTTCACTTAGGGTTAGAGAAATAATGCCCTTCCACACCCCCTCATGTTCACAGGCCACTGTTCTTCACCCAGATCCCAGGCACCAGGCTAGCAACCCCTGGTCTAGTGAGAAAGAAACACTGACAGGCTCAGGCGGGCAGGACAGGGCATGTTCTGGGTGCGAGGAGCGAAGGGAGGAGGCGCGATGGAGAGAGGCTGAAGCTACATGACGTCCCTTAGAGTTTACTGGCTCATCCAAAGACAGCATTTACAATTACATCTTGTTTTTTATAATGACATGATCTAAGAGGAACACGTGCTCATTATAGAGAGTAGAGAAAAGGGGGTGAAAATCATTGTGTCCGCTGCCACATCCCAGTTAGTCACTAGGGCCCAGGCAAGGCTGGCGAGACGGTGGCTGGGGCACTACCCTGAGGGCAGGGGAGAGTGCATGAATATGCTCTGCCCTCACGTGTCTGTCACTTTTCTCATTAGTGACATGAAGGTGATGGTAATAGTACCTACCTCATGGGTGGTTTGAGAAATAAGTCAATTCCTAAACGTGCTTACCATGGGCCATAATTAGCATTCAACAAATGGAGACTTTTGTCACATTGTCCAGTCATTTCTCAGTGCAGAACTATTTTCTGCACTTGCTTAGCTATAGCCTTTATATATCCATATATATCCACTAGTGGCCTGGTGCATGAAATTCGTGCATGGGGAGGGTGTCCCTCAGCCCAGCCTGCACCCTCTCCAATCTGAGACCCCTCGGGGGATGTCTGACTGCTGGTTAAACTGGCAGTCAGACATCCCTCTCACAAGCCAGGACCACTGGCTCCTAACCACTCACCTGCCTGCCTGCCTGATAACTCCTAACTGCCCCCTCCACCAGTCTGCCCACCCCCAACTTTCCCTGCCAGTCTGCTCACTCCCAACTGCCGCCCCCCATTGGCCTGATTGCCCCCAACTCCCCCACCCCTTGCTGTCCTGATCGCTCCTAACCATCTCTGCCTTGGCCCTGCCACTATGGCTTTGTCCGGAAAGACATCCGGAAGGTCTCCCAATCTAATTAGCATATTACCCTTTTATTAGTATAGATACGTATAATTTTATTCCCTGCTTTTTCTCTTAATTTTAATATATAAAGATTTAAGTACTATTATAAACTGTTGATAAGCATTTTAAATGCCTAAACAATACTCCCTTTGTGTATGTGACCCAGACTCTAGATAACTATTCCCTTATGACTAGACATTCAGTTTATTTCCAGTTTCCCACGGAGCTGGGATGGGCGTCGTGGCTTTCGTGCAGCTGTGGGTATGTGTGGCAGGAGCACAGAGCTATGCTTCGGGATCACTATGTGCCTCAGTTTGGAGGACAGGTTGGAAGTGAAGGATCCTGGAGACAGAAACCTGTGAGGAGGCCGACCTGCAAGAGTGCCGTGGGAGTGGGGAGGAGGGAATGGCAGGGCAAGGTCAAGTGGCCAAAGCCTGGCCCCTGATTGGTATAGCAGTGAATAGAGCTGCTGAGTGTCAAGGGTGACTGTGGTTCTGAGCTTGGGGAGCTAAGAGAAGGGAGTGCAATGGTTAAGCACATGGGCTTTGGTGCTAGATGGATCTCCAGGTTCAAGCCCAGCTCTACCACATTACCTGTGTGATCTTGAACAAGTTCCTGAAATTTTGTAAGCCTCAGTTTCTCCATCTGTGAAGTGGGAAGAACAATGAATGTTCATCCTAAAAGTATGAAAATCAAATCTGATGATGTATGGCAACTATACAGCAAATGTGATATAGTGGGCAGAATAAGAAGATCAGGGTAGCATGTCAGCACCGCTCTAAGAATGTTGCATGTACTAACTCATTTATTCCCACAACAAGCCCAGGGGGGAGGTGCTGCTAGCGTTTCAGTTCCTGAGATGAGGAAGCAGGCCCAGAGAGGGGCAGCAACTCGCTATAGGTCTCACAGGCAGAGACAGAGCCCAGACTTACCCAGACAGTCTGGCCTCAGAGTTTGTGCTCTTAATGACTGTGCATTCTGCCTCTCTGTGTGCACATCCCTCCGCTGACATCCAGCAGGTGGTTGGAACTTGACTTTGTAACCCAGGGTGTCAGTCAGAGTGAAGGACTACCTGCGCAGAGATATGAGCAGAGGCCTCAGGCCAGGGTGAGATTGCCCAGGGCAGAGAGACCTGGACAACCTCTGACTTGAGCAGGTGAGAAGAGCCAGCAATGAAAGTGAGAAAGAGCACTCAGAGCAGTGGGTGAGAAGGAAGATTGGAAGGTGTCTGGGAACCCAGAGGTCATGGTGACCTTGGAGAAGTAGACCCAGTAGGCCGAGGTGGGATGGGGACCACACCTATAGGGCATGCAGAGGGGGTGAAGTGGCTGCAAGGAGCAAGCAGACGATTGGGTGACTGTGAGAGTGCGGAATGTGCCCTGGATGGCTTCATCAGACTTGCACTCCAGTGCTGGCTCTGACTTCTCTCAGGTGTGTGACTGTAGGGGAGTCACTGAGCGGCGCTATGATGCTGTTCCTCACGGGTAAGATCAGAAATGAGGACCCCCTGCAGCTGCTGTTGGGCTTTGAGGGCCCATGAACGTGGACAATCTAGCAGGCTGAGGTCGCCTGAGAAACAGCTAAACTGCAGCACATTCTTCAAAGGTGCAGTCTGGTCATGCCACGGGGCCCCCACAGGTCGGTGGTCTGTGCTGTTGCAGGACCCCTGCCTTAGCTGCAGGCTGGGAGGACCTTGCAGATCTGTCATCTGCTGAATGTGGCACTGGGCATGAGCCCTGGGGCTCCCCGTCCCCACCTGCGCCCACCAAGGCCTCCGCTGGCTGTGTGGCCCTGATTAGGATGCTGCCCTCAGAGGAAGAGACCTGGTTGCAGGTGTGGCTTTGCAGCTGATGCCACAAGGAGCACCCTGCTGCCCCTCCACCCCAGGTCACAGCGTGAGAAGTGGCTCCACTTGACTGTGGTGAGAGGTGGAGGGAAAGGTGCCAGGATCAAGCTTTGCATTTAGGGGAAGGATGTGGGACGGGGCCTCCGCGCCGATGGAGGAGGGGGCTGCTGGGTTCTGACATCATAGTTCGCCCTGAGAATTAGCTCATGTTTTCTCTGTCTGTTTCCCCTCATCTCCCCTCCTTCCTTTCTCAGGCTCCCGCCCTGTGAAGTCTCAGATTCTCTCCTCCTTTTCTTACTGCATGTCCCACCCATTTGTGCGCTCACTCGTGAACATGCACTGGCACCTGCCCTTAGGGTTTGAGTCTGATGAGAGAAGGGAGACATCTGAACAGCAACCCAAATGCAGTCGGGGCCGGGGGCTGGGGGAGGGAGAGCACGGGGGGGGGGCGGGCAGTTCTCACCACCAGCCTGTCCTTTGCTGGTAGTCAGAGGACTTAACACACCTATTGGTGTGGCCATGTGTCTCCACAGCCTGGGCCACTTCCTCACTTAATACCACCCATAAGCGGCATCAAAGTCCTGGAGCCCAGCCGTCCAGGGGGCTAGGCGGGCAGGCAGCAGGGGTGGAAGGTGAGGGGCAACGGGAAGTGGGGATTTGGGAGGTCAAGACCAGCAGCGCACTGGCTGCACCCTGATGAGTTTCTTTTCCTTGTTTCTTTCCTGCTCCTGCTCTTCCCCTGCTGCCGCCTCAGTGTGTCAGATCCTCCCCAAGGGCGTAGTCGCAGTCCTGGGACCATCCTCCAGCCCGGCCTCCAGCTCCATCATCAGCAACATCTGTGGGGAGAAGGAGGTGAGTGCTGGGCAGACTGGGGGTGACCGCAGGCTGCAGCCCGTGCCCACAGATGCCGTGGGCTCAGAGGCCAGAGGCCCACGGGTGCCCAGTTTGTGCCACTAATAACAAGAATGTAAATGCAGATCAGGAGTGTCCTTCGCAGGACGGGCACCTGTTCCAGGCTGTTTGGATGGAGGGGACTGGAGCAGGTTTCACACAGGATTTCAAGGATGTTGGGTAGAGGGGGGATTGGGACTGGGGTGGGTGGGGGTGGGGATCAGAGGGCAGAAGTCTGACTCCACGTGACAGAACCTGTTATGTATTTAGACATTGGGACTCTGGGGAAGTGGAGTTGCTACATTTGATGGTAAAATAGTTTGAAAACTTGTTTTATAAGTTCTCTAGAAAGGATTCTATTTTGCTTTCTACCTCATTCACCAAGTCCAGTGTTCACTCGTCCATCAGCAACTTCCTCGGCAGTGCCGCCTCTACCTGGAGTCTCTCCCCTTCAAAGTGCTGAGCCATTTCCTGTAGTTCTAGTTCCATGGGAGATGAGGATGCTGGCGAGGCTTAGCAACAGCCTGCTTCTGATTTCAACTCTCTCCCTCGATCCCTAGAGAAACAAGCTGTGAAGTTCAGCGATTCTGCCTGTTGCTGGAATCATTCTTAGGTCTTCCCAGAATCAACCACTTCTTTCCCTTCAAGCGACCCGGAATCCTCTCTCTGCCCCAAGCGCCTCTAGTCAGGCCCTTCAGGGCCGGAAGGAGCTGGGGAGGGGCAGAAAAGAGCACTGGAAAGGGGGGACCAATCTTCCTCCTGTCCTAGGGACTGGAGGCTCCGCCTGGGGCGGCTCTGGCTCTTAGAAATAGGACAGGACCCACTGCAGGGAGAAACTCCTCCGCATGCTGTGCAAGGGCAGTGGGGCACGTGCAGCCTCTGCCCTGGCCCTCGGTGCTCCCTTGATGCCACCACTTCTCCGGTGACCAGAAGGCTGAGTGATCTCCCTCCCAGGACCTGCCCTCGGAATCATCACGCCATGAACGGCCTGCAGGCCTTGCTGCCCCACCCCCGCCCCCAGGGTCCGATCTTCCAGGGCCTGGAGCTGCTCTGTAAACCGAGCCCCTCACCTTCCTGCTCCTGGCCCAGTCCAGGGACCTGCCCAGCCTCATCCCCTCAGGAGTCCTGAACGATGACTCTCAGCCAGCCCAGGTCTCACCCGGGCTTCTGCCCCACTGCAGCCCCCAGCGGCTCAGTCCCGGGCCCAGGACCTTGGACCTGGAGTGTAATTTCCATCTTCTTGCTGGGCTCCAAATGAGAGCTCACCTCCAGCTGTTGCGATCCTCCCACATGAGCTTGCCCAAGGACAGCTCCTCACTTTCTCTCTTCTGTTCTCGCCTTTTCTTTTCTTCCCTCCTCTCCCCTTCCTCCCATCCTGTTTTCCTCAGGGTTCCATAGAGACCTTCCCCTGAGCCCACTCCAGAATGGCTTCCTTCTGGGCCTCCTTGGCTGTTTTATCTCAGTTTCGCACACCCCTAACCCTCTGGGCATCGTAGCCCAGAAGTGGCACACACTCCTCATCTGCTCCCCAGCTGCCTGTGCTGCCCGGGCTGGCAGGACAGCGCCCTCCTTTGCCTGGCCTTTTCTTCCAGAGCAGCCTTTGCTCTCCGTTCAGATCATGCATGGCTTTTAATATTTATGAGGTTGAACTGCCTTACCCTGAACCCCCTCAGCTCCAGGGAAAAGAAATGGAGTTCTCACCAAGGAGCTCATTTCTTTGAGGGCTGCTAGCACCCCCTGGCCCTGACCGCTGCTCTCTGCCTGGCTGCCCTTCCCCTCCTGCTCACCTCTCCTGCTCCCACCTCCACAGATGAAATATCAGCAGGCGTGGCCAGACTCTCTCTTCCTGGCTCACTAGAGTAGCTGGTGGCTTCCCCAGCACCCTCCCAACAGTGCCCCTCCCGGAGCCCCTCAGCCTCGCCTCCTGCACACACAGCTCCAGGAGCTGGGCCGGAGCCGCTGCACTTTGGGAAAAGGGGTACAAGGAGGAGAAGGGGCACTGCTGAACACTTGCTGTGTGAGGCAGTGAGCGCTCCACCCCTCACTCACAGCATCTCATTTCATGCTCCCGAAGCTCCAAGAGGCACCTCTTGTCACCTCCATTGGAATGAGCTGGGCGGGTGAAGCAGTTTGCCCCAAGCCGCACCACCTGGATGCAACCAAATCTTTAGACTTTAAAACCCATTTGTCCTTCACTTTCCTGAGCCCATGGATTTGAGGGCATTCCTAAGGGTATCATCTCCCGGAGGTGAGTGTGCTGCTAACACACCCTGGCGGCTGGATGTCCATTGATGGCGGCCTCGGCTAGAAACACCCAAATGTGTCATTCAGGCCCCGCCCCTATGCCTGCCCGGCCTGTGCTTCCATCTTGCTCCTCTGTGACCTTTATCCTTCCAGGGTTCATTCATTTTACACAAATGATATGGGATGCAAAATACAAGCTGGGACACAGCGTTCTTTATGACACAGCTTCACTCTTCTGAGTCCTGGCTCCTGACTCGCAGGACTCTCCCAGGTCTGCACTTTCAGTCTCTGCTGGAAATAGTGGCTGCCCTGTCAGTTCAAGGGTTAATCCTCGTTGAATTCAGACATTTCTCTCCCCATCTCTGCTAGTCCTTCCTCTCCCCTCATGCGGTTTCACGGAGATCTGGCCTCTGACCGACTTTCCTCAGAAGCTTAAAATGATAGGGTCACCGACTCCTGCGAAGACCATCTCAGCACATGGCAGACTGGGCTAGCCAGTGAACGCACCACCAGGAAGTCCTTCCTGCTGTCTACCCTCAGTCCTACTTGCTTAAAGCCACTCTAGAGCCATGCTTGCTGTGATTTGGGTCCCATAGGCCACTGGTCCTCAGGGAGGAGTGTTGAAGCTCCAGCCCCACCTCCCACAGGGGCACAGAGCAGCCTGCAGCTCTCCTGGCTGGTACCAGGGGTGAGGGAAACAGAATAAAATCAAGGTGGATGGCAGCTTATTATATTCGAACTGTCCAATGACCTACCCTGTAGCCTGAGCTACCAACAAAGTAGCCATCCCAGGCTGTGCTATCGCTTTCCAGGAGAAGAGAGGCGGAGTCAGGGGCAGAGTCTCTTGGGAATGTCAGAAACAGAGGCAGAAGGGAGCTGACTGCCCCTTGTAGACACAGCAGGCATTTATGCGCCTGGCTCCACTCACAGGCTCTCCACGTGGCTTCCTAGCCAGCGACGCCTCTCTCCACGTGCATGTTCCAAGGTGTGGGAGCGGGCTGGCGCTCTGCTGGGCCGGTGGCCTCGTCTCTTGGTCCCCAGGGCACTGTTTTTCTTTCCCTGCCATCTCTGCTCTGATTTACTCAGGACAACTCAAGGATTGTGAGGATTATGCCTCCGAGAGCCACTTGTCGAGCTGCTCAGCAGTGGGCCGTTTCTTCCAGAATCAGTCCCAAGGTGTACAGGGCACCCACATAGTCCTGGAGGGCCTCCCCTGGCCCGCCTGCCTGCAGGGCTGTCTAGGATGCCATCCATGGGTGCCCTGAGGCTTCTGGCTCTGTTTCCCGCTGGTGGGAGGCAAAGGCCCAACATAAAAATCCTCTAGCTGCTTTCTCCCTCTTTCTGGACCCCTCCCCCACCTGCTGCTCATTTTTGCTCCTCCTCTCAGGTCCCTCATTTCAAAGTGGCCCCAGAGGAGTTTATCAAGTTCCAGCTCCAGAGATTCACCACCTTGAACCTGCACCCCAGCAACACCGACATCAGCGTGGCTGTGGCTGGGGTCCTGAACTTCTTCAACTGCACCACGGCCTGCCTCGTCTGTGCCAAAGCGGAATGTAAGCCCCGGCCGCCGGCTCCCGGCAGCCCCAGTCTGGCTGGCTGATTTCAACCTGGTTGCTGCCCTGGCTGGGGACACACAGAAAGGGGGTGCTCCCTTAGGTCCCAGGGCTGATAATCAGAGGGCTTGGCATTCCCGTGCTTACCTGTGAGCACGCCTTCTTGGCTGGCTTTCCCCAGAAGCGTAAAATGATAAAGCAGCCGACCACCGGAGACACCCCAGGGCCCCTCAGACTCGGGGCCAGCCCAACACAGAGAGCTTCTGCGTGGCTGTGTGTCCCTGTGTGCGCACACGTGTGTGTGCATGTGAGAGCAGGAGCAGTCTGCCTGAAAGAACCCCCTGGGCACGGCAGAACAGAGGGGACTGGGTTACAAGGAGCATGGCCAACCTCCAAGCCTTAGTGCGTCTGCAAACCCAATTCCCACCTCTTCAGCCTCGCTGCTGAGGAGAGGCAGGGACACAAAGGCGGATGCCTTTGTACTTCATGGGCTGAAGAACTTCTTGCCTGGAGAGCAGGCTTTGCTGATAGAACAAGGTCCAAGGTCACTTTCTGATAAAGCACTTGTTTTGGAAATGCATTTCTCTGCCTCTCAGACAATTATGACATAAGCTTGGTGTCTATGAGATGTAGCTCATTTGAGCAGCACTTCCCAGAAAACCCTGGCATCTGTGCACCTAGTGGCAGCCACGACCACATGCCATGGGCAAGTGCTGACCGTGGGCTGTCAGCAGGGCCCAGCACCCACGCCCCAGGCATCTGTCTGGGCAGCTCGCCGGCACATTCCTACCCTATGGGCCTCAGTGGCTGCACGGGCAGGGCTCTGCCATGCCCACCAGGGCTCCTCTCAGTAGCTGCTCAAAACTGTTCGGCACACTGACGTCCTCCCTCCTCCCTGGAATCCTGAAGGCATCTGCAGACATCGCCCTCCCTGTCCGGAGCCACTGTCCTCACCCACCCTGGCGATGGTGGCCTCCACATGCGCATTCTCTCACCACTCAGCAGACATGACTTTCTCTGTACTGCAAGAGAAGCAAGAGCAGCAGAGTCCCACTGTGTGAGACATCCCCCCTGCCCGCCCCCATCCACACTCTACTCTGATTCCACCCATGTCCCCTGCAGTCAGTGTTCTTCAGTTCAGGGTCCAGTCCAGATCACTGGCTGCATTTCAGGTGTCATGTCTCTTCAGCCTTCCTTCAACTAGATCTGTCTTTGTCTCTCAACTTCAACGTTTTGAAGAGTAGGGGCCGGTTATTTTGTAGAATGTTACTACTTCCTGCTTTGCAATAACTACCTGTGGGAGATGATTGGAAGGCACATGAATATCCTGCTCCTTAGAGCACATGGAGGCCTGTGCCTGCATCACATCACTACATGATTGCCAGATAGTGGGCTCAGCGACAGCATTCTTTCTGCATTTGTTGGTGAGCAGTTTGCAGTGAGGCTCTTGTCTTCTCCTTACTTATTTAGTTCTGTCAGTATGGATCCACGGATTCCGATTTTATTCAATGGCTATAATCCGTTACTATTATGACTTATTTTGATGCTCGGATTATCCCAGATGTGGCGGTGGGAGCTCCTGCAAGCTGGCTTCTGTGCCTGTCACCTTTGAGTGCCTCTTACCTCTGACACACGGTGGTCGAGGTCCATGCCCCAGCCCAGCCCAGGGCTCAGCCATTGGCTAAGGACCCCTGTTTTATTGTCTTGTTTTGTTTGTTTTCTGTGTTTTTTAAGGAATAATAGAACCCTAGGTCTGAAAGCTAGGTGTGCTCATTGCCACCGAGGTGTCATCTCTTATGTCCTTTCAGTGGATAACCAGGAAAATATCCCTTTCCTCTCATTCTTGCCTTTCACCACTTTATATTTGTAGTTCCTTTGCCTCATCATGAGAGGCCTGGCTCTGAGCAAAATCAATGTATTTACTCCTTTGTTTAATTCTACAGCCCATAAACTTGCTTCAGAATTACTACACCCATACCACTGCTAATAATAAACTTTCTAACCTATGAAGTCATGTAAGTTTTTTTTGCAGTTATTTTGCCCCTTTTATCTTCAGAATGAGGGGAGTAAAAGTACTCTAGCTAAAAGTTACTTGGGTTCTTTATTTTTTACTTTTTTTAATATAGTTATCTATTTAGTATATTGTTAAGTTTATTTGTCTGTGTTTATTTTAAACTTTGAAGTAAAAAAAAAAATCCTTGTTGATTTAACTTCCGGCATTTTAATTATGTGTTTTGGTGTGGCCCTCTTTGGGTTCATCTTGTTTGGGACTCTCTGTGCTTCCTGGACTTGTGTGTCTTTTGCTTCACTATATTGGGGAAGTTTTCAGCCATTGACTTTTGGGAAAGGTTTTCTGTCTCTCTCTCTTCTTCTGGGACCACTATGATTCAAATGTTGGTATACTTGATGTTGTCCCAGAGGTCCCTTAAACTGCACTTATTTTTTTAAATTTCTTTTTCTTTTTGCTGTTCCAATTGGATGTGTTCTGCTCCTTCGTTGCCCCAATCAGAGGATCTAATCAGAGGATTAGATCCTCTGCTTCCTCTAACCGGCTATTGATTCCATCCAATGTATTCTTCGTTCAGTTATTACATTCTTTATTTCAGATTGGTTGTTTTTTATGTTTTCTGCCTCCTTTTTTATGTTTCCTATTTCTTTGTTGAGATCATTGAGCATCCTAATGACCAGTGTTTTGAACACTTTATCTGATAGATTGCTTGTCTCTGTTTCATTTTGTTCTTTTTCTGGGGCTTTGTACTGGTCTTTAGTTTGAGATGTATTTCTCTGTCTCTTCATTTTGGCTGTCTCTGTGTGTTTGTTGCTATGAATTAGGTGAAACAGCAAACTCTCCTGGTCCTGCAGGAGTGACCTTGTGTAGGAGGGCTCCTGTGTAGACTGCGTGTCAGTGTCCTTGGCAGGCCAGTGGGAGCTGGAGCTTGCATGGGCCACAGGGAGTCCCTGGGGGACAGGCCTTACGAAGACCTGGAACTATAGCTGGAATGGAAAGGGCCAAGGAAAGTCCCAGAGGCAAGCTGAATTGGACCCTTGACAGGGTGGCTGGACTTGTTTCTGGAGTGGGCTCAGGCCTCCCAGAGTTCCTAGGCTGAACGGCAGCTGCAGGTGGAGCCAGCTGAAGGGATCCTGGACATAAGCTGGGCTGTAGCTGAGGGACATGTGGTTGCAGGAAGTTCTAAGGACAAGCCACACCTGGGCTGGACCTGCAGCTAACGTGAACTTGAATGTGACTAGAGGAGGTCTGGGGGCGAGTTATGAGGCTGGAAGCTGGAGCCAGAGCTGCTGCAGGTCAACCTCTCTCTCTCTCCCTCCCTCTCCCCTCTCCCTCCCTCTCCCTGTCTCTCTCTCCCTCCCTCTAGCCTCTCTCCCTCCCTCTCTCCCTTTCTCTCTCTCCTTTTCTCTCTCTCTCTCTCTCTCAGAAGCTGTTCGGTCAGCCCCCGTTCTTCTCCAGGGGGAACTGCTCTGTCTGTACATGTCATTCTTTGCGTTGCTGGAGAGGGGAGTGCAGGGTGTTCCCATTCCGCCATCTTGGACCAGAGCCCATGTGTGCTTTTTACATCACTTATCGCTTATTTATTACAACCCAGGGCTTGGAAGTACTAGCATTTCTCGTTTTAAAGCTAAATGAAATGTAAAACTCAGTTCCTCCCTCTCACCAGCCACATTTCCAGTTCTCAGTGGCCACATGTGGACAGCGCAGATCTAGAACTTTTCCAGCAGACATTCCACTGGGCAGCGCTACTTAGATGGTGCGTGCTTTGTGAATAACGAGTTTTGTGGCCCTCCACTCAAATCCAGAAATGTCAGGTACCACTCTGTTCTATTTCCCCTTGTAGAGATGCAAGGCACATTAGCATGGACACTGACCTGTCCTATACCAAACAACTATCTTACCTCCTCATCTTCCAAACAGCTTTGGCCATGAGCCCAAAGGGTGCTAAGCTGGAAGCCCATAGGATGCCAGTCTTCAATAGAACATGGCTGGGAAACCTTGTGTTACCCAGGTGGACCCCCTTGTGTGGGATCCTAGCACCATTGAATAGGGTAACAGAGTCAAGACTCCCCTGGAAATTTCTGCCACAAGCCCCCTCAGGCAGGACAGAACCAGTGCACCCCCTGCTCACAGCATGAATGTCGAGGGACAAAGCACAGGCTATAAACATCTCCAGGCAAAGGTTCTCCTGCAGTTTTCCTCAGTGCTGGGTACAATGTCTCACCAACCTGCCAGGAAGTTCTTTCTTGTGTCTAGCCACAGTCCCACTTGCTCTCAATCAACTGGGCCCTGGCAGCTGAGGCCCATGCTGGAAACACACTGAATTTGGGAGACTGATGGCAGTGCAGAGGCCACGTTCTTCCCACCCCCATCTTTCCATCAGACAAGGGGACAGTCTCCACGGCCATGCCAGGCACAGACTGTCCTGCTGTGAGCGAGAAGCCACAGTCTCTTCCCCACCCCCGCCTTTTCCCTCTGGCCCGTGTTCTGGACCTCTCTGCCCATTCTTGGGCCGAGCTAGGTGTGGGATGGGGCAAAACCAAGAAGTGAGTGAAATATGTTGTTCAAGCATTTGAACTAATTAGGTGCCCCTTCCCCACCAGCAATACATCAGAGCCTCGTCCTGCTCCCTCATCTGCTCCGTGGAACAATCTGAAGCCACACGCCTGGGCACGTGTGCCTGGCAAGCAGGAGGGGGATGGAGACTTCTAGATTTAGGGCACCGTGCACAGTGGTGAGCTCCCTGTGCTCACTAACCCTCCCCACAGTCCTCTGAGATCGGGATTATGCCAGCTGCCTTCTGGGAACATTGACATTTGTAAAAGCAAAGCCTGCACCCAAGGCATCAGCTGGTGGAGAGGAAGTGATGCCCATGGAAACGGGTGTTTATCTTGTTTTTTGATACAAGGGTCCTCTGCTTTCATGTGGGCATTTGCGTCATTGCCCTCTGGCCCTGTCCAACCCTGGCCATGTCTTTCACAGCCTCTCCATC